AGAAATGCTTGGAATATTACATCTAGCTTCAAAAGGGCTTCGCCAGTCAATGGAATGTCATGGAATCTCAGTTAGGTGTCATACCTGAACCATTTGTGTAATAATGAAGAAGATTGGATAAAACTTTAAATCCAAGTCTTCATTGGCTATACTGAAGATCTGTCCATTTTTAGTTGAAGTAAATGAGGTGATTTGGTTTGGGATAGGAATTCGACTTCATAGCTTTTCAATCAATTAGTAAAGTTACTGTGTCACCAGAGAAGCATTGGATAACCTGCTGAATAATGGTTGATTCATATGAACAGTGCATTCTTTAGTGCATTTGTGAAATGTGCATTTATATCACAGTTTCTTTACGAATCGGTTCTGAAATATTGCTTCAGGGACTGGGGTGTGTGGCACGATGTGGATTCTACGTGTGCACTTACTTTCAAATCTGAACTTTATTTCTGGCCACACCTTTCCTGAGAGGTTGGACAAGGATTATAGAAAAACGTAGCCTCTTTAGGTGTCTCTTGGATCTTCTGGAGGCAACAGCATTATCTGATCTATTTTGACAACCACTGAAATCAGGCATGAGGACCGTAAGGTAATTGTCTGTCTGGGCCAGTTGATGGTGAATAAAGTTCTCTAACAGTGTCAGGAATAATGCTGAGATATTTTTTGCATTTTATTCTGAAGGATTAAAAAAAATATTGGTTTGTTACTTTTCAGGCAAGGAGTCTATTTTCTTTATAGTAAAAATACAAGTTATTGATTATACACATATTTTCAATCCTAATCCCTTTTGTGATTCAGTTTTGTTACTTTATTTCTGAACTGTTTGAAAATAAATGTAAGTTTCCAGTAGACAGTGTGATTTGATTTTGATGCTTTCTGCTACCCCTCATAGTGAAATAATGCATCAACAATTTCATGAGGCAGGGTAATTGCGAATGTTTACTAATACAGTGGAGCAGGCAAATTGGATTTAGTTAAATCCCCTAGTCTACATACATGCACGTTTGCAGTTTGTTAGAGCATGTGACTAAGATTGCAATCCTTTGACCAAGAGTGCCTGGTTCTATACAGACCATATGTCAGATTATTTTCAGGGTGAGTGATTGGTGCATGTCTACTTAAATCATATCCTGATCCATCAGACCAAAGCTTATATGGAATATGTGCAATATTCAGTTTGAATGTTTTAGCTGTGAACTCGTGTTTAGCATTGTAACCATGTTTCAGTGTTTTTATTTGAGTTAATGTCTGCCCTTACTAATGCTGATGTTAACTTACTGCTGCTCTTTTAGCCATCATCAGAAAATTGATGGACAGGGGTATCATAGGGGCTAGCTCATAGGAAAGGATGTATACAGATATTTAAACTGTTTGGATATATTTAGTCTAGTCTCTCATGGTTTCGTTTTAGAATAGGTATGTACTGTAATTAATCAGGAAAAATAAATCAGTAAAATGTAATGCAAAGAGAGTTAGGTAAATCTATCTCATATTTCCACAGAAGTTTACAATGAAGAAGGTATTTAAATTTTCTGGCAAAATGCCAAACTGTAAAATTTTTATTCTAAGTAGGGAACTGGCTATGAAAATGGGTATTGATGGAACAGAAAGAGCCTCATTCAAAGACTTAGCTCCATGAATGGAAAGATTCTTCCTTTGGAAATTTGAACTAGGCCTTTCAAACGATGGGGTCATGCCTCCTCCTACATAGCAGAAGCCTGTCCCTCAGAAGGTTGGCCTCCTACTCTTTGCATTTTTTTAATAAAACAATTACAATCTGTTCATATAATAATAATGCTTGCATTTTATGCAGTACCTTACCTCAAAATGCTGACAGAAAGTTCTGATGCACTCTGTGAAATATGACACTGGACCTTTGGTAGTGGATTGGAGTGGCAGACTATGAGCTCAAAACCCAATAGACACATGTATTTGTTGAAAGAAGAAAATGGACTGTGTCCAGATAATTGTATGTTTAGCAACAAATCTATTCCCATTGATTGGAAGGGACATACATAACCAAGGGATAAGAGATTACCAGCTTGATGCCAATTTAAGAATTTTGGATTACCTTGCATTTGATATAGAACCTTATCACATCTTTGAGACGTCTCAAAGCACAGAGATTAGGTAAACCTGTCCAGAAACTGCTAATAAATCCTACTCGCAATTCATACATAGTATTAGAGGACAAGGTTCAAAATACAAAACTTCAAATTTGGATGTATGTAATGAATGATCCTCTGGAAAAGCTAACCTCCTAGCTTCTTTAAGATTTAAAATTATTTACTTTTCTTGACCTTGCTATATGGTGTATTTCAATGACATATAGAATCTAAAGGATACAAGTTTCAATTTTATATATTTAGCTTTTAAATTGTATTTTTCAGATTGAGCTCTGATCTCCGACTTTCTGATTTGTGGCTGTTTCATTAGATTTCTTTTCCCATTGAACGATTGAGTAAAGGTTTGCAAGATGCCTTACCATGCATTGATTATTTCTTATTTCTTACCTTTTTTTTATTAAAAATGTGTACTTTTTAAACCCATCTGAGGTGCCTTGCTGTTGTATTTCTATGAATTAATGTACATTTCCAATTTATGTGTCTGTAAATATGCTAATATAGTTCACTGCCATAAATTTGTTTGCTTTCAAGATACTGTTAAGAGTAGTATTTCATAGTCTTACCATTTTAGTGAGCAACTGCGAGGATATAGAGGTTGCTTTAGTTTATAATGCATTCACTGTAATTATAGTCTGCATAAGAATATCAAAGGAATATATGTCTAGTAGGTTCCACACTGCATAGCAAACGTCATCAAAATTCAGCAGGTGACATTTCCTACGCCTATCTAAATGATAATATATTTCCTTTGGGCTGCTCGGAATGGAGATGATAAAATGAACTCAGTAGGGTTTAAAATTCGTCAGCTACTGTCAAATTATTTTGGAGTAACCTACAAATGTTTTGTTAACAGCGAAATGTAACCATCAGAAGCAACTGTTTAAGATTATGTTGAGATCACACTGGCAACATTGATTGCGTTTTATTTCCTCCATATTCTGAATGCTTCCAGAGAAGCTTTATCTTAAATCTACCATGTTTAAATTAAATTATGTAAAACCAAATAGATTCTGACTTCCTTTCAGAAATCGATGGCGTTGAGTGTCTCTAAAGAGAAAAATTGCAGATGAAACAAAACTAGAAAATGCTGGACGTGTACAGCAGGTAGTTTAGCATCTGAAAGAGATAGCAGGTTAATGTTTTGTGTGGGATCCCTTATTCTTAATATCCCAGTCACAACTGTAGCTTTTTATAAAGTTGTGAATAGGCCAGTGTAGTGTCAACCAGCTATCAATCCAATATGCATTCATTGAATTATAGCATGTGAATTTGTGCATGTCATTCCCACATTACTGTACCATTGGAGAGGTACGAAACTTAACCACAAATAAGCCAGTCTAAATCGGCAGCACTTTTCACTTTGTTAACTTGGTACATAAATAAACATTTTTGATAAAAACGCTACTCTATCTCTCATCCTCGTACTGCCTCTCCTCCTTCACAAAATGCATTGTGAGAAGAAATACATGAGTGCAGCTACATTGCAAGAAGAAAAAAAACTACTGCTTTTTTATGGAATGTTGTTCCGGAGCTGTGGCTTATTTTTTCAAAAAATAACTTACATGTCAAAATAACCTCACAACTTCCACATATCGCTCGTAATGCATTGCAGCAAAGAGCTCGTGGCTCACAACACTTGGAGAGAATTTTCTTTCTGAGTGATTTAATTTACATAGGTTTATTGGTGAAAACTGCCACAACTGTGATTGGATATCTGTGTTATACAGCCCATGCTGTACACAGAATTTTAATTTTGAAATTAAATTACGACCGCCACATGCCTTCTCTTTAAACCATCGGAGTTGGTGCATATTTAGTTATAAACATAGAGTATTTTTAAGCAAAAGAAAAAAAATACAATTTATGAATAAACATGGTATTAATGAACTTCACAGCATGCAGAAACTGTCAAACAATTATTCTGATCAAAGTCACAACAAGGGGCACATAAAATCGTGTATTCTCTGCCTGTTCTTTGTTGCTTACACCGACTACAACCCAAAGCGAGTGATGTTATGAAGCACTCTTAATTCCTGTGGAAGTTTGCAGATCCCTGAGTTAATATAAACGTCCATTTAAAACTAAGTGAAATGGTAATTTTGATACTTCTCCGTCTTCATCCTTACCAGGAGTCTTGTGGGTAGGCACTGTGTATATATAAATTGTATTTATTTCTTAAAACGGGGACTTGTGCTAATCCTAATGATGCATTTCAGCAACTTCTGACCCTAGCCCTGGAGGACAGAGCAGTCCAAGTGCTGAAAAAGACTTGTAGAATAAGAGGGTCAGGAGGAGGAGTATAGTTTTTTCCACTGTTACCAAAAACGTAAATCTTAATCTGTTTCATGAATTTTGACAGCTTTCCTCAGATGAATCTGATTTCTTATACCCAGTTACTGTAGAGTTAAGATTTTTTCCCCTATTGAAGGTTTTTGAGTTGTGGGTTTGTAAAATACTGGATGAGGCAATATTTTCTCCATATACTGCAGCACCCCTTGAGTCATTACAAAATGGTTTACACTTCTTCAAAAGCAAGAGTCTAGTCATATACTTGAATTTACCCAATTTTTTGATGATGTATTCCATTTTCAGTAGAGTATTCAATTTCAGCACTTGTGAGTGTTTTTTTNAGCTGATCACACAGAAGTGCTGTGATATCAGTCAATTGACCCAGTGCTGTTTCTCTGCAGTTTGAGCAATTGAAGCTGATGTGAGTTTTTTTGTATTGATTTTAAGGACCTTTTTTTTTAGTACATCTCGCTTTTAGCGAAAGTGTTATGCTGTTAAATGGATATCAAATTAGATAGTTACAATCTGTGTACTAAAGGAAAAATGTTTTGAGTGACGGTTGTTCCCCCTTGTCTATTGCTGCAGATCGTTGGTTGAAGACGAAGATCCTCATTTGAAAGTGTCCTTGGCAAGTGGCGACATGGGAGTGACAGCCCATTTGCAGTCTTCAAAGACCGGCAGCACTCGTTTTTTCACTAGCAATACCCACAGTTCCACAGTGCTACAGGTACAAAATATGTTCCAAGTTAGGATCAATGACATCTTATTTGTCTTTGAAACTCTCTACCCCCTCCTCGCTCCCTTCCCTCCCCTCCCCCTGACCATTTCCCTGGTTCTGACCCAATTGTCCAGCGCCTTAGGACGTCCTCCCGACGTGAAAGGCGCTCTTTTAATGGAATCTTGTTGTTGTTATTGTTGAAACGCTGCAGTCTAACGTGCGGTATTTGTTAACAAAGTTTTTAATAAGAAATGTGTAATTAAAAACTTACCAATGACATGAAAATGTGCTTAAGAAATCTGTTAAACACCACAAATTAGAACCTACTGTGTGTCTTTCTACATCTTAGTCTTTTGTGTGTTATAATTACTCATTAGTTATCTGCATTGACTAGTTGATATAACCTCTACTTGACTAATCACTAGACAATGGCTCAGAAGAAAAGTGTATGAAATTGTTGAAGCACACAATCAATGAATACTCATATTTTCAAGACTTAGAAATCTTAGAAAATAATGATGTCTTAGCACCTATCTTACACCATGTTCTTGCACAAATAGTGTATGCATTGTCATTTCTTGAATCTTGCTCTTTGGGTCTTGCACTCCAGAACCTTTTAAGTTTTTGGCTCAATAAGAGTTACAGTAAAACTGCAAGCTGGTTTTCTATACAATATTGATTATGTCTCATAATGCCCTGTGGCCTATTTTAATGTTAACCCTAGCTTTTGAAGCTTAAGGGAATAAATACATTTAATGGTGATGTGGGAAAAATCGCTTTTCGAATAGCTTTCAATCAGGTTTGTTAAAATGTACATTAATGGCAGGTTATTATCAAGTGACCAAATCTGTGAATATTAAAAGGAACACTCCCCCTAACAATGATTTCCTGCCTGTTAACTGGCAGTGTATGTATGAGTGAAAGTTGATGAATACAGGCAAATTTTATTTAAAAAGAATACTAACAATGTCAAAATTATATTATAATTGTCATATTAATATGACGATTACAATATATTATAATCTCTATATTAATTGTCATAATGCGGGTTGCCATTTTCTACTTGACTTTTTTTTATATAGTTGTTCAGAAACCAATTTTTTGCTTAGCCTTTAAAACTATTCTTTGGTACTATACCTGGAACTGGTTTGATGGCCTCCTTCTGTTTTTCTATATTCCTGTTCTGCGTTTCATCTTTACCACGACAAAAAATGTTTTATTTCCCTGTTCCTTTTGAGAGGTGGAGGAACAGTTGAGATTTTGCTCCTAATCTAGGAGTTGTAATTAACTATGGTTTTCCAAAATCCAGTTGCATTTTCAGTTTCATGAAGATTTAACATTTTCCAAAAGTTGCACTAAATTTTGTGATAATTTTTCATTTTTGCAAGTGTTTTAAAATGGTTGTTATATGTGACAGGCACAATAATAACTTACTGCATGGTCATTTAAAATATCTGATTTTGTAGGGGTTCGACCAGCTTCGAATCGAAGGCTTACTTTGTGATGTTACCTTGGTGCCAGGTGACGGAGATGAAGTATTTCCTGTCCATAGGGCTATGATGGCATCAGCTAGTGACTACTTCAAGGCTATGTTCACAGGTAAGATCCAAAATTCTCATAGCTACTCTTATTCTTCTGGCCGCTGTTATGAAACACAAGGAGTGCTGCAAAAATGTAACACTGAAATTGTTTTGTAGAACCCTGTAAATGGCTTATGTAATCATCTCTAACTACAAATGTTGCAGTATGTAATGCTTTCTTTGTTGCGAGAAGGAAAAATTAGGTAATTTTAAAGCTGATCTTAATTTATTTAATTTTCATAATGTGTAACATTGTTGTAATGCATTGCATTTCTAAATAAATCTTTTTAGTATTTTAGTCAATTCTGAAGATAGTTTTACATGGAGTATCAGAATTGTTGTACAATGAATATAATGCATGTTTTGTGTATTAAAAGCTATAAAATCTCATGAATTTTCAGACCTATATTTGTGCTGAAAATTATGGGCAGAAGGAATAGCTTTGTACAGCAATCGGTGTATTGCCAACAAATTATATCTTGATTGGTAATGGACAGAATATAATTATGGCTATTTTATTAGTTATGTCTTTCTTAATGCAAACTTAAACATTCAGAATTCTTTAATAGTTCAACTTTGTTAAAAAGATAATGAAGCCATCTTTAAAATGTGGTCATTCCCAGCATTGAAATTGACTAGAAAATCTTTATCTAAATCATTTGTCGTTTCTTTTTTGAGTAATAAAAACAACCATACCGTTCCCAAATGGATACCGTTTAAAACGACTTTCTTTCATGTGAACAAGGTGGAATGAAGGAACAGGACCTAATGTGTATTAAACTGCATGGAGTGAACCGAATAGGGCTTAAGAAAATCATTGACTTCATTTACACTGCAAAACTCTCCTTGAACATGGACAACCTTCAGGACACCTTGGAAGCTGCCAGCTTTTTGCAGATCTTACCTGTTTTGGACTTCTGCAAAGTATTTCTCATATCTGGGGTAAGATTTCAAAGCAATATTTGCATAATAAAACAACTTCAATATTAAATGTAATCAGATGTATAGTTCAGTAAAACAGACTCTCATTAACACAGTGGTTTTGGTCCATAAAATCAGACCCATTTGTTGTAAAAATGGTGCCTGGTCAGGTTGCCAGACAACAACAATTTGCATTTATATCGTGCCCTTCATTCGTCTCGGAGTGCTTTTTGGCGTTACAAAACTGCGCTGTCCACACGTGCAGCAAACTAGACGGACAGCGTCCTCCTTTGCCAGTGCACTACATGCCAGTAGCCAGCCAGTCAGTCATTCAGTGCTGGAAGCCGGAAGTGTACCACATGTCGAGTGTACTATGGGTCCACAGTGTGTACACATGAACTTTTTTTAAATATACATATAAATATATATATATAAACACACACACATTGTATATGAAGTAGGGTATCTCAGGGTCCAACAGAATGGGATCTTTAACAAAAACAAAAGTCGCTGGGAACACTCAGCAGGTCAGGCAGCATCTATGGAGAAAGGAAAGTGAATCAGCATTTTGGGTCCACGACCCTTGGTCAGAATGGGATCTTTGTTGAGCTTTGTGCAGCGAACATTGTTCAAATGTTTGCTGGATTTGCACCAGACTTTCTTAAATTAGTAGTAAGAAGATGGCTCGATAATGGTTATTTGTCTTTTACTGTCAGAGTGTTTTTTGCAGGCACCAGCACTCTGTCAGTCAGTTTTTGCCAAGCGAGATATATATCCAGTTCAAAATCTTCACTGCATGTACCAATTTTTTGTAAAAAAGTAAATTGAAATGCTGTGAATTTTTTTTATATAGAGCCACATAACCTCATTTTGTTATTTCTGGTTTTGTAACGTCAAAGGCTGAAATTATTTTTGAGCTGCTTAAAATGAACAATTTTATTTGCTCTATAATCAACAATCCTGTGTGGTCGAATGTGATAGAGATATCTATTTTTAGAAAGATGATTAGGCAGAGTATATTCTATAGCAGCATTTGGGCAAAAGCAACAGTTAACCCAATAAAATAAACAGTCAAATCTTTAAATATTACATCAAAAATTCACTTTTTTTATATCTTCTAGGTTTCGCTTGACAACTGTGTCGAGGTAGGACGCATTGCCAATACATACAACTTGACAGAAGTTGATAAATATGTAAATAATTTCATACTGAAGATTTTCCCTGCATTGTTAAGTACTGGTGAATTTGTGAAGCTCCCCTTTGAGCGACTTGCCTTTGTGCTTTCAAGCAACAGTCTGAAAAACTGCACTGAACTTGAACTTTTTAAGTCTGCTTGCCGTTGGTTGAGGTATGAGGACTCGCGAATGGATTTTGCCTCGAAGTTAATGAAGAACATTAGGTTTCCACTGATGTCACCACAGGAACTAATTAATCATGTTCAGACTGTGGACTTCATGAGAACGGACAATGTCTGTGTCAACCTGCTACTGGAAGCTAGTAATTATCAGATGATGCCCTACATGCAGCCTGTAATGCAGTCCGAGAGAACCTGTATTCGTTCAGATAATACGCATTTAGTAACTTTGGGCGGGGTGTTAAGGCAACAGTTGGTGGTGAGCAAAGAACTAAGATTATATGATGAAAAGGCTCACGAATGGAAAGCACTTGCTCCAATGGATGCTCCAAGGTACCAACACGGTATTGCAGTGATTGGAAACTTCCTATATGTTGTAGGTGGGCAGAGCAATTACGATACGAAAGGAAAGACGGCTGTTGACACAGTGTTCAGATATGACCCTCGGTATAACAAATGGATGCAAGTAGCATCTTTAAATGAAAAGCGTACGTTCTTCCACCTAAGTGCTCTGAAAGGACATCTTTATGCTGTTGGTGGTAGAAACGCAGCAGGGGAATTGGGTAGGTATATTTTTTTATTTATGAAGATCTTAAACTAACTTTTTCTGAACTAATTACACAGGGTATTCTAGTTGAATGTGATAATATGTCTCTAGTATCTATTATTGCCCTTTTAAGTCATCCTTTGAGTAATGGTTATGAAAACATTTAACTGCTCATACATGTTTGGATGCAACCATAGAATCCTAGCAAGAGCTTTAGCTAACAAGAAGCAGAATGTGACAGCTGGATTGGAAGGTATGACAGAGGTAATATATAATAATATAAAATAATCCTTGCATTTGATATAGCACCTTATCACTTTTTCGAGACATCTCAAAGCGCTTCACAGATAATACTGTAAAGTAAATTGACCCTATATTTTTGTGGTATTTTCAGTGCTCAGCCGAGGAAGCCAAAAATAGCTAACACAATGTTTTGCTGCCAGCTGGGTGTTGATTGTAAACTGGATAGAAAATAAAACCAGTCAGATTGTCAGTTAATGAAGCTGACCACAATTTTATTCTGTAGATTTAAATAGTCAATTAATCGTATCCAAACTTTTAACTTATTTTATTTACTGTACAGGCTAGTAACAAAAGTTGTATTCTAGATGTAGATTGTCTAAGCTGTGGGTTTGAGCTCCCAGAGGATACTTTGTCAGTACTGGGGAACACTACATTTGTTCCTGCAGGTTCCATCTGCATGTCTTCAGTTGGGCGCTAAAGATTTTACAACACTATTTCAGAAGAAACTTATATTCCTCCTGGTCTTCATTGTAAAACAGCCTAACAGACCAGTGTGCATTTTTAATCATATTTATGACCATGAGATATTTTGAGCTTCAGTTAGCATTCTACAAAATGCCTCAAGGCTGTTGGGATAGGCAAGGGAAAGTTGGGCAGAAACCATTTTCCCCGCGTAGCAGTCCTGCTGAAATGTGCACAAGTAGGTCAGCCGAGGACAAGATTAGGCTTGGTTGCAATGGTGCTTCAATTCAGGAAGGCTGTCAACACTCTGTGCCAAGTCTAACGTGTGATTAATGGCAAATTTAGATGAGGTACCAAAAGACAACTATCACCTATTGGATAAATCACAGATTTGTGAATTCAAATGCATTAGTTCTCGGGTTTTATTGAGAAAATCTATCAAAGGTCCTTCACTGAAATTTAAGAAACTTAATATGAAGAATAGTCTTTGTGAAATACTGCATTCTGTTCAAGATAAAATAAATGCTTGTATTGAGTTGCATTATTTGGTATACCATATAGAATATAGAAGATATGAGCTGGTAAGCCACAGTATTAAGTGCCAAAACTCAAGTGTCATTGTATCATGAAACCTGTCTGGATCAACAGTTTGATCTAATATTGTTGACAACATAGCTATGATTTACTTAGGTGACATTGTGCATGCAGCACTTAGATATCCCATTAATTAACTCAGTCCCTTCTGACTTTGAATAGATTCTGGATGTTCTTACACCTTTACCACAAATAGTGCATAGGTTTGTGTCATTATTTTACTAATATGAATGATGCCATTTCAGGACTAGAAGTGCTTTGTCTTGTATGGGATCTAATACTTCTGCCCACAAAATATACAGTCAATTCACTTAACAATATATTTTGTGAAGCTCTTTGAGACGTCTCGAAGACGTGATAAGGCGCTATATCAAATGCAAGGATTATTATTATTAATACACCACAATTTCTAGCAGGATTCTGTAATTCTTTAGTTTTCTCAGAAGGGCTTTAGAAACTCAAATGGCATGAGTATTGTATTTTTTTATGGTCATTCAAGTAAACATAGCAAATCATTGTTTAATCCAAAGCTATTACTTATTGTCGTTTATGTAAAAGACTTTTGATACGGTATTTAAATAGATATAAAACTTGAAATTACTACAGAAACCTGACGCAAAGACAACTTAAATAACATGGTGTGTAGTAATTGGGATTTCTAATGGTGTAGAGCGCAATTTGTATATATACTGTAGGACTGGAACTTGTCTACTCTAAATTGTTGAATTGCATTGAATCGACCTGCATATGATTAAACCGGGTTAGTGAATTAATGTGTTTCTCCAATTAAATATTTTAAAGTGTGCTGAGGCTTTATGTTGCAAATTGAAAATGAACGCCAACAAATCAGCTGGGTGTGCATTCTTCTCTTATTTGTTTTTATTCCCTGTCTTTGGAACCTATTATTCCTACTCTCCTGATGTACCATGCCAAGGTTGAGTTTAATTACAGAAATAATTGATTCAGATTTAAAAATAGTGGCACATTCATTAGCTCAGTTCAGTTGCCAACGAATCTATACACGAGTAATTCACGTAAGCAGTTCTATGTAAAAGCTGCTTTCTCTGCAGGATATATTTTTTCAAGACCATGTATTATGACTAACACAGCTCGACATTAAGGGACAAAATATTCATCCATCCAAGCTGGATATATTTAAATATCTGGTGACTAATAAAGCTGCTGTATCCCACTGATGACAAATTAATAGTTTGATGTGGAAAAAAAAGTCTTTTCAAAACATGGTTTTGTATGATCTTAGTTTTCAGTAGAAGGAACCCATTTCCCCTGCAGGTATGGAATATGGAATATATTTTTCTTGTTATTTTCCAGAATCAAATTATTATATTTTATAGGTGTCGCCTTATTTTGAACGAATTCAGGCAGTTCAGTCATTTTGGGGCAATATGAAACATGGTAGATTCCATTAGATTCTGATGCACTTTGCTGTGTTACTGTAGGTTCCATTACTTATGTAATCTGCATTGATTTTTTAGGCATTGCATTGCTGTCTATATTAGAGAGTTACTACTTTAAGGCTAAGTTTCAAGTAAATCCAGAACCTATAGTTTAAAAAAACATAATTTTAGCTTCCAGTTTGTTTTTTGTTGCAAAACAAACTTTTCTGTGATTCTTTTCGAAAAATAAAACTCATTTCATGGCTGGCTAACTGCCAGCTTTTCACAAAAATCTCCCCATGACCAATGATTTGAACTTGACTATCTTGCTGTGAGTTCCAACACAGTGAGCTCTTGATCTTGTGAGTTATTGCAAACAGCTGTCAAGTGGACACAAGGTTATGTCTTAGAGGGAAACTGAGTAAATCAGTGTACCACTTTGCAAGTTTGGCTAGACATTTTATATCAAGATATTTTAATAATTGGTTTCTTACATAATGAAGAATGTATTGGGGACAGTTGTGTTGGGGGGGGAGGGGTGGGATGGTGGGTACACAAAAAGGAAGACAACAGCTTGTTTTAAGCAGTGTTTGTTTTTTAGATAATCCATAGACATTTGTCCAATTAAATATTACAACCAATTTCTAGTAGTTCACTTTACTGAAATATTACCTGGGTGTTGAATGCCTATTTTGAAATAAGCCTTCAATAATTGCTTCGGTGCTATTCTGACCATATTCTGACAGACTTAATACTAGCCATCTGAAATAGCAAATGCTTTTTAATGGATTTTTTTGCAAAGCCTTGGAGAGTGTTCATTTTTATGCGTCATGTGTTTTGTTACATTTAAGATTTTCACAGTGGATCTGGGAGCCATTTTATTGTTAATTACTACAAAATAGCTCTGTGATCTTATAAAGTTATTTGGCACTAAGTAAATATACAGTACCTGTAATTTCAGAACTTGTCATTTTGTATGGAGCAGTAATATAATTTTAAATGACATCCATGCACTGCTTGCACAGAATAGCAATTAGTATAGGCTAGTTTGATGTAAGTGTAACAGATACTGTAATGCACCAATGACATTTAATGTAAAACTACTGTACAATAAAAGCCCTTTCTGTTATATGGAAATGGGTCACCAACAATCTGGTGTTAGATGTTTGAAATGGATGTCTAACCCTTTTATTCTCCAAGTATAATTCTCTAGGTGCAGTCCTAGGAATCCTATTAGGATTTATTGTCAAGAATTTTATTGAAGCAATATAATCAGTCACAGCAATCATTCTTTAATAGTAGCATTTTTAAAATATTAATTATAAATATTCATGAGGCATTAATTCTTTTTTTCCTCATTGGGTTGTTCAATTTACAAATGGAAGAATAGAAGACTTAAATACTTCTGTCTTTCTCAACGAGGATCTTCAAATAATTCCATTTAACAGAATGCCAAGCTGCATGTGTTAACAAAATTCTTGAATGTCTTACCCATTTATCAACAACAACAACTTGCACTTGTATAGCGCCCTCCACACAGGGCAGCGCCTCAGAGATCTTATCAAAATACTTTCTGTAAATCAAATCATTCCATTCAACAACATTAACTTTCTTTGACCAAATTGTTTTTATTTGCACTCCATTTAGAGTATATTTCAGAAGAAAAAAGGGATGGGGGTCAGTCAGTACAGCATTTACTTTTTATGGATGTATTAGCTGAAGAGGACAATTGAGAGGAATTGAGAAATGAACCATTGGAGTCGCTGGACAGCTTCCTTTTGTACTTTGGTTATGGTCTTTTAGTATTGTATTGTGGAGTCCTATAGCTCAGTGGTTAGAGCAGTCACCTTGCAAGCCAGACACCTGGGTTCAATTCCAGGCAGGGCGAAACCCTGGGCAAGTTTACTTACTCCACCCCTAATAATAATCCCTCCAAAAAACAAAAAAANCAATAAATTGGTCATTTTCAATCCACAACTGTTGTGGGACACTGCTGTGCGCAATTGGCTGCCACGTTTCGCCCACAAATATACAGTCAATTCACTTTACAGTATATTCTGTGAAGTGCTTTGAGAAGACGTGAAAAAGCGCTGTATCAAATGCAAGGATTATTATTATTATTACTGCTTTCCTATGGCGAATTATCATTATGTTCACATGCAATCCAACACAATCATTTGTGATCCCACACAACATACTGTGCTGCAGACTATCAATTTTGTTAGGGCAAATTTGGGAGCATAAATTCTGATACATTTGCTGGTTACCTATGGAATTTTGTTAATTCCACCGAATTTCCTCTCTTCACCATGTAATTTTTAGAAAAAAACTGATCTTATAGGTGCTGTCCTTCGGATGAGGTGTTAAACTGACGTCCTAAACTAAGGTCTCTTTATGTGGATGTTAAGGTGCCCACACTCTATTCAAAAGGTATCCTGGCTAACACTCCCCAGATAACATTGATCATTTACTTCATGACTTTTTCTGGGATATTGCTATGTACAAATTGGCCATCACCTTTTATGTGTCACTGAAAAGGATTATCCTCATTTAAAGCTTTTAGGTTACTGCATATAAAGTTTATCACAGTGTCCGATAAAGACTCGGACTTGGGTCATGATGTTTATAATAATAATAATAATCCTTGCATTTGATATAGCGCTTTTCACGTCGGGAGGACGTCCCAAAGCGCTTCACAGAACACACTGTAAAGTGAATTGACTGTATATTTGTGGGCGAACGCGGCAGCCAATTGCGCACAGCAATGTCCCACAAACAGTCATAGATTGAAAATGACCAATTTATTATTGTTTTTTTTTGGAAGGATTATTATTAGGCGTTATCACAGGTGACTGTCACAAATCAGTTAGATTAGTGTTTTTTGCTCATGAATTCAATCGAGTATTTACCAATTTCATACTGTATTACAGTATTCTGTTTATTGTGTATAACTTTGAGTGATTGCTTTTTCTTATTTAGTAGGCAGGATTCATGAAAGGAGATATCTATGCAATACTTATGACATTTCTTTTCATTTAGTTCTGGTGTGTGAGTGGATCGTCTAGTTAACAGAACATTGCCTTGATGGAAAGTTTTCTTGATGATATGTACAGTATTTATTAGTTTTTTTTGTAAGTTTGTCATAGCTTGTTCAGCTATGTAAGGGTAACTGTAAGGTTAATTGGTAAACTTGGATACAATATCACCCCCGACGGCGACAAAAACAGACTGGCTTGGCAGGATGCCCTTTGCTCTGTTTCCCAAGTTTGTAGCATTTTATTTATGGAAACCAGCATGTTTACAGATTTGCAGAACTTAGATTGATCTTTGCAGTACTGACACCATTCCCACTCCCTTTAAAAACAGCTGTCAATACCCACCCTCAAAAAACCTTCCTTTGACACATCTCTACTTAAACTACTGTCCGATCTCCGACGTTCCCTTTCAAGGTTCTAGAATGAGTCATTGCTTCCCAGCTTTGCTCTTTCCTCTCCTGCCACTCCCCATATGAATCTCTCCAATCTGGTTTCCATGCTGCCCATATTACAGAGACTCAATTTGACCCTTAATTGTCTTTAAACCCCACATTTGTGCCATGACCCCTGTTTTGTCTTCCCCACCTCCATAATATTGCTTGCCTCTGTCACTATCTCTTCTCTCAGGCTGCTGAGACCCCCAACAGGGTTTTCTTACATACAGATTTGACTATGCTAACTCTACTTGCGGGCCTTCCCAACTCTTCCAACTGCAGATTATTCAGAACTCTGTATCTTGTGTCTCTCCCTCACTAAGCTCCGTGAGCCTATCACCCCTGTCCTCGCCTGACTCCACTGGCTCCCCATCCCCCAGAGGATCGAGTTCAAGCTCCTTGTCCTCACTTTTAAAGCCTTTTAAGGACTTGCTCCTCCCTAGCTCTGCGACCTACAAAAACCTTGTGGAGCCAGCCATTATCCACAGGATTATACTGTTGTTTCTTTATAAAACACCCTAGCCATATTTATCACCGTTAAACAAAAAATATTGATTTTGTCAAACTTTTTTTTTGTTATTGGAATGAAGTCTAATGAGATTCCCAAAGAACTTGGGAACAAATGGCAACAGCAGCATTTGAATGGACGTAGAGTCCTGTAGCTCAGTGGTTAGAGCACTCGCTTTGCAAGTGAGAGACCTGAGTTCAATTCCAGGCAGAGGGCGAAACCTTGGGCAAGTTTCCTTACTCCACACAGAGCCTAATAATAATCCCTCCAAAACCAAAAACAGTAATAAAATTGGTCATTTTCAATCTACGACTGTTTGTGGGACATTGCTGTGCGCAATTGCTGCCGCGTTCGCCCACAAATATACAGTCAATTCACTTTACAGTGTGTTCTGTGAAGCGCTTTGGGACGTCCTCCCGACGTGAAAAGCGCTATATCAAATGCAAGGATTATTATTATTATTGAATGAAATAGTTTTGTTTTCCCGTCCCCTCCTTCCACCTGAAGCACTTACTGCATATTGTAATTGTTTCTCTTTGCAAATTTATTTACAACAGCCACTGTGGAGTGCTACAATCCAAGAAACAATGAATGGAGCTACGTGGCAAAAATGAACGAACCTCACTATGGGCATGCTGGAACGGTTTACGGTGGTTTTATGTATATTTCAGGTAAATCTTTTTGCTAGCTGACAGGTGAACAGTCAATATACTTGTAAACCAATTTTGAAGGCATTGAAACAGAAAATGTTTAAATCTTAAATGTTTACCTTCCTTCACAAATAACGGTACTATTTGCTCACTTCTTTCAATCCGTTGCCCTACCCCACACCATCCTTTTGCTCTGACACGTGCCCTTTTATAACAACAGTAAATGGGTCACCTTAACGTTTCTCTGAGCAGCATGTTTTCTTATTGATCACCTTGAATTTTCTGCAGAGACTGGCTGGAGAGTTCTGCAGATTGTTTTAAGAAATCTTACTACATGACCTTGAGGATGAGCATGATGAAATTGAGTTTAAGGAAATGTCGAAACAGATATTTTGAAAAGTAAATCTATGAATTTTTTAAAAGCATTTTATGGTCTCATAAAAGATTCTTGCAGCAATATAATATTGTTGATAGTACAATTCCAAATTAAAACCTTGAGTGGACTAGATCAAAGATTGTTTTAGTCAAAAACTAGATTTTTTAAAAAAGATAAACATTTATTGTAATCCCAAGAGGAATACATTGATTGCCTCTTTGTTACTTATCTGAACGAAGTAACTTAAAAAAAATAAATGTACTCTAACAATTTAGGTTTTGTTTCTATACAATAGGAGGGATTACACATGATACTTTCCAAAAGGAACTCATGTGCTTCGACCCAGATGCAGACAAATGGACGCAGAAAGCTCCAATGACCACTGTTCGAGGTCTTCACTGCATGTGCACTGTTGCGGACCGTCTCTATGTCATTGGGGGAAACCACTTCAGAGGAACCAGTGATTATGACGATGTCTTGAGCTGTGAGTTCTACACGCCTGCCCTGGACCAGTGGACCCCAATTGCAGCCATGTTGCGTGGACAGAGTGATGTAGGTGTTGCAGTCTTTGAACACAAGATCTATGTTGTGGGAGGCTATTCTTGGAATAATCGCTGTATGGTGGAAATAGTACAGAAATATGACCCAGAGAAAGATGAATGGCAGAAGGTCTTTGATCTCCCAGAATCACTGGGAGGGATCAGGGCCTGCACTCTGACAGTATTCCCACCTGAGGAAAACACTGGATCACCATCCAGAGAGTCACCTCTCTCTGCACCTTAGACAAGGAAAACTGCTCTACCTTCAACCCTATACAGAACTCATTTGCACAGCATCATAATTGATATCAAAGATTAACTGCCTATTTTTGCTTCGTATCTATTTCTAGGCAGTGACCTATGACTATAATTACAAAAACAGTGGATTGAGTTCTTTGTGCGGTTCTGTTGCCATTGGTTGTTCACCTGTTGCAAGAAAGGCATAAGAATATATGTGTCAAACAATGAACTTTGTCTGAAAAAGTTTAGCGATTTTACTGTTATACAGTGTTTTTTTTTGTTTTGGACAGTATAATGCTGTGGCCCTATTGCTATATTCATTTCAAAACAGCTCATTAACTAACCCATGAATGCATTTCCATTATCTTGGGCTTCATTACATCTGAAATAGTTCAATACAGTAAATTTAGATATGGCAAAACTGCCTGCATTGTGAAATTAAAACGGAAAATGTACCAAGGTGCCAATAGGGATGTTAAGGCGAAAGATAGGTTAACATTTTAATGTAGCTAACCAGAAGAGTTAACTTACTTTTCTCTCTGCCTCCGATTGGCCTGTGGTGCATTTTCAGCATACTTTTTAGTTTTTAATTCAGATTTGCAGCATTCGCAGTTACTCTTTTCATCTCAGACTGTATTGTGCTTATTTTCCATTAAAATGTTGACCTGAACTAATTGAATGCTTCAGCTGTTTGAAATTAAGGGATGGACCTTGCTTCTCAGTTTCTATTTAAGTGCAGTGCGGTGCTGAGGACTTGGATTCCAGAATGCAATATTTGTGCAACCATCTCTTTATCTATATTGAATTTTAAAAGATAAGGACTTATTTTGTTTTTGCATCTTTCAATGTGACTTAATTCAAATATTTACCAGCTGACCAAATAACCATCATCAACTCTAGCCTTCTCCTTTGTTTGCTATATAGATCAACACTGTGCTGCGACTCCCTTCTGTACATCTTGGTTAATGAGGTTATTTAGCACAACGTGCAGCTTCAGCAGGAGTGCTGCTGCAGCTCAGTGGATTTGAACTATGACGCTCAACATTTTGTTCAATAAAAAATTTAACTGAAACAACTAAGCCTTCATTTTTTTTTCTAATTTGCACCGTTACTAAATGACCATTGAAGCATGCTGGGCTAAGCATATGAAATGTATATAGCTCACTCTGTGTAACTTTTGCCTTCAAACCGATGATCGTTCTCATTAAAACAACACTTTTTAAGGATTATACTTGAGATTAATGTGAACCATTTTACAAATAGGTACAAAGTCCTAATTTATATGAGAATGGTCATTTTATTCTTGATTAAAGAATACTAAGCGATGTGTAGGATAATGAGAAAGAAAATCTATTTAGGTGGTTGTATAAATTTTAAGTTAAACAGCAAGGGTTTCATTTAAATGTTTTAATTTTACAACTATGTCATAAATTTACAAGATATAAAGATTTAGCATGTAAACAGAATGATGGCAAGCCAGAATTACATGGGGGATAAAAGCTGTTGAATAACATTGCAGTAGAGATATCTCGTACAAGTCCTAACTTTCCAAACGCCCAGAGCCATCCATTCCTCTTCCATGAGAATTATAAAATAAAACTCCAGATATTTGGCAATTTAAGCCCAATGTAAGCATCTGAAATCAGGAGACATTGTGTTGGATAATAGAAGGAAGACTGAGGGATAGGAGTAAGTGTGATGGAAAGAGTGAAGCAGCTTTGATGAGAAGTATAGTGTTCTCAAGTTGATGGTACAAATGCACAGATTGGGTGAGTTGTGATAGTGTGAAGGGGAAGAGGTAAGTGGAGCTGACAGTGGTGGGTACAGCAATGAATGCATAAAAATTAGATTGGAATTTTAAGAATTGTTGTTAAAGATTTCATAGCAGATGGTGGACCATATTTATTAAAATAAAATAAAATGGCACAAAGAAGTGGGAGTCTCCAGTCTTAAGTTAACAAAAATAAAATGCTTTTTAGCCTTTTTTAAAATTAGAATTGTGAAAGTTTTGTTTTAACATCTTAAGTGCCAGAGCATTTCCACTTCGTAACTAAGTGGACAAACTATGTATATGTATAATAATAATCCTTGCATTTGATTATAGCACCTTATCACGTCTTTGAGACGTCTCAAAGCGCTTCACAGAATATACTGTAAAGTGTATTGACTGTATATATGTAATGATGAAACCTGTCGCCAGTTGTGAAAGATTAAGGAACCTTGCTTTGCACTGTGTTACTATGGGGCAATTTTTATTGCGTTGTTTGTGGAAAAGCATACCAGCCTCAAAGTTACCAAGAAAATAATTAACAAGCAACCGCGTAAAGCTTTATATGTGCATTAAAAATATAAAGCTATGCTCTTTGGCAAATGCCAGTCCAAGAGCAGGGGATGACTTTGCTATGTTGGTGAGGCAGTCAAGTAAAGCATTAAACAACACCTCCAGTACAGAAATACGTTTTAAAATGAAAAATTTATGTTTCTTTATTTTGGTCAAATTCGTACCCTGTGTACACAAAGTAATAGAGAACCAATCCTGATTTAATCAATCATAGATTTAAGATCTTCCTCCCGTATAAGCTGAAATATTCTACTGTTTATTAATATATGGTTTAATATACTTGACACAGAATTTGCCCTAATCATCTACTATAGTTTTATCTTAACAGAAGAAATATCTTGCAAACAGCAATATTGCTCATTGCTGTTCAGTAGTATCTCCTGCAATTCACAGGTTTTGAAACATTTTGAAGGGATTTTGAGGAGGGAGGAATTTGCTGAAAATATTTCACAGCCTCTACATTATTTTGAAGTTTGTTTCAGAGAACAAAGGAAATTTAAAATAATCCTTGCATTTGATATAGTGCCTTTCACGTCGTCGAGATGTCTCAAAGCACTTCACAGGATATACTGTAAAGTGGATTGACTGTGTATTTTGTGAGTGAAATATCATGTAGGTGGTCATCTATCGACTTGAGAACTAACTAATGGAGTCATCTTGGTCATTTCAATGACTTCAGTCACGCGAGTTGTATGGAAGTATGTTTTACATGAGGAATACCACTTCTGGAGGCTTTTAATGGGGTTTCTGAATTTTGAGCTTTTATGACCCTGTACTGAGTAAACTGAAAATGTAAACTGCTGTATTAATACAAATTAAATATACGTAATATTAACTATTGCTTACTACCAGTTTCATTCAAAAGGAATAAAACAACAGGCGGAGTCGTTATTCTGCCTACAAATGCAACCCTTTTTTTCCCAAATATAAGAGGTTTGCCCTTTTTTAAAAATTAAAAGCATTTCCACATTCATTTCTGCATCACTTCCAAATACACACATGAATAAATTATTCCATCCCCTTTCAGTTCTTCTACATTGCACACTCATCCCTTGCTTAGATAAAAAGCAAATAACCTGCTTCCTGGTATCCACCAATGAATCACTCTAGTTTACTCTCTCCTCCACTTTGCCTTCCTTGCATGGCCTGGTTAAGACAGAGAGTGCAAGATGTCTGCTCAAACTATAGCTTTGTATTGCAAACTTGAATCCTTTGCCGCATTGAAACACCAATACAAACTTTTTCTTTAAAAAAAATTGCACTTTAATTTAGATTTACTGTTATTTTCTTAACAATCTAAAGCATCCACAAATTGACAAATTATTCAGCCTTAATTTTGAAAACAGTTTTCTGAAAAAATTAAGAATTTGTCAAATTCTGGATGTGTTGAAATGCTAAATAAATAGAGCAAATCTCAACGTTTTCCTCCCCAGATATTTCTCATTTGTATGTACAGCGTATTGTTAAATCTTTTATCATTAATACAGTTGACTTGAATAAATGTAAGTTTTGCAGTTTTAGTTGTAAATTGACCCAGATCTGTTTTTTGAATGCGACTGCATTCAAATTTGGATTTGATTTATTACAGGCTGGCTTGCCTGAAATCTGAGAGTTTCCATTTTCTCAGGAATTGCTGATGCAGATTGTTCTGAAAAGAAAACTAGAATATATATTCACCCATTCTCACCACTTGTAAAATATATATTTTATAAAATGAGAATAATTTTCACCCAATTCTGTTCTCTCCGAAACAGGTGACCTTTAGAAAATAGTGGTTTGGTTGTTGCATCCAAATGTTACAATTAGCATTTAGTAATTAATGAGCCCTAAGATCCACATGCTAATTTTCACATTTAGGTTTTAGGTTATTGCTAAATCATTTATTCTAATGTACTCTTTGTGGTTTCTTCTGACGATCTAGTTTTCTACTTTTTCCCTAATGGTAACTGCTGAAATATGGCTGAGGTCAGTTGGTAAAATGTGCAGGACATTTAAAACTCATCTAAATGTGTTATCAATAAAACCTATATATTATCGTTGAACCAGAAATAATCATGCATTATTAAAACAATACCTGGCTCAGTTACAAAGCGTTGTGATCAACCTAAATGTTTAAATCACATGTGGCCTTTTTTAAACTAATGCAGACCAGAAAATGAAACCTGCCCATAAATCTGAAATCCATTGTGCTGACGCATGTACAATTTGATTTTTAAAATGCATTTCTTCAGCCAGAATCTTAACAGCAGCCAAAGCAAGTAGGGGAATGTTGTACAAAACTGCTCAGGACTGCAAGGGTACTTATCAGGGATTCTTAACTTGCTAGAATAAAATAAATTTTTTTAGAGGAGCCAAACCACAGCTGTTGAACTTGAATGAAAATTCTGTCAAATCTAAAACAGATGTGTAAACTTTTAAATGCAAGGGAACTGCTGTCATTCACAAGCATTTTGTAAATATCAGAGAGAGACTGAGACGTGATCAAATACCTGGAAACAAGCTTTGTGTGACTCTGTTAGTTGTAGAAAAATATGAATCTTATTGCTCTTTGTTAGTTAGCCTCTTGGGAAAATTGTCAGATGGAATGTGCTATGATAATCTGCTTTTAAAAGTTTGAGTCTGTTCATCGCCTCCCCATACGTCGAAGAGTGGAAAATGCCTTTATTTTGCTTTCTTATTTCTTTATAATTTAATGTCAGAAAGGAGTACTGATGGTGACTCTGTCTCTCTAAGACTTAAATGTCAGAGACTTGCTTTTAGCAGTAAGTTCCAGCATTGCTTTTTGGTTTCTCGGATCATTTTATACTTTTCTGAGGGATCTCTCAACCAATGATGAAATTGGGGCCTTAATATCCTGCGTTTGGGAGGAAGAAATCAACCAACCAGAAAAATGAGTGAATGTGCCTTTGGGAAAAGAGGAGAGAATGGTTCCACTCGTTTTTGTTGCTTGACTTTATCTATGTTGAATGAATGAGGAACCATCATAATTCGAAAATACTTTTCTGATCTAAACTTATTAATTTAAATCTTTGGGAGATTTAGCAGGGTTCTTTTGTAGTTCTGAAAGTTTATAAATTGAACCATTTCAGCTTTTTTAATCATGATGAGGGATCTCAGAGGTGATGACTAAAAGAAAACTTTGCCACAATCAAGCACTCCCAGGTCAAATATAGAATGGACTGGGTAGAGTAAATGTTCCTCTGTCCAGGCACAAGCAAATCCGATCTCAGACATGCAGTTTCTATTGCAGAAGTTTAAATGTTTAATTTTCCAAACCAGCCTATGTGGGATTGCTAAATAACCCAAAATGTGCGCTGAATAATGGTTGGTATTGTAAGGTATGACCAAGGAAAGTGGGTTAAAACTGAATTTCCTGGTGCCAGCAAAAATAATGGTTTACCTCACTTTATAGGTGCCACGGTTGAACAGTTATGGTGTTTAGCCAAGAAAAATGGATTCAAATTAAACTACATATGATCCAAAACATTGCGGTTGGATCTGTCTGAAAATGTAACGAGAGTATATTTCCAAAGGAGTTCCGAACAATTGTATTTCTTATTGCTGTTGCCTTTCAGGTTTGGATGCTATATTTTGGCCAGTTACAAAGGTTAGTCCCATTCCTGAAATGAGCAGAGCAACAACTTGAATCATTATTCATAGGTTTATGAAACATTATCCTGGGAACTTAGCTTCACTTTGATTAATTTGCTCCATCATTTTATTGTTTGCTC